CGGGACCGGGATCGGGATCGGGACCGGTGCGGCCGGAGCCTTCGCTGCTGCGGTTCCTGGTGTGCCCGCTTTCCAGGCGGCCGCTGAGGTGAGGAGCTGCCCGCAGAGCCGCGCTCGCTGCCCGCCCTGGGCCAGCTGCAGCCCCGACCCGAGCGAGAGCAGCTGCCGAGGGGCAAACCCAGGTTATTGACTCCTCCTTTTGGCTTGTTTGGGCTTTCTTTCCTCCTCCCTCCACCCCCGTCTTGCCTGGCCAGGTACGAAGAAGCTACCAACGAGCTCATTAACGAGGAGCTGGGCATTGCGTACCCCATCATCGACGGCATCCCGAACATGATTCCGCAGGTGGCCAGGATGACGCAGAAGGCCCCAGCCGAGGGCTCGGAGCAGCCCTGAGGAGCCCCGAGCCGCCGTGGTAACCGAGCCTGATGGCCAGAGGAGGCCTGCTGCCCTCCCTGCCCACGCTGACTGTGCTAGTTCCCCTCCTGTCCCTAGCTGGCTTGTTTTACTCGGCCAGCGTAGACGAAGCCTTCCCACGGGGCTGCACCAGCACAAACAACTTGTGTTTCTACAGTCTCCTCCTTCCTGTTACAATACCGGTTTATGTGTTCTTTCACCTGTGGACCTGGATGGGGATTAAGCTTTTTAGGCACAACTAGTGTGATGCATTTGCTAAATCCTGGGTTTCTCTAAACAATGGTTTGTTTAATCTCATCAGGTACTGCAGTTGATTTGAGAGAGCTCCCTTCTGTCACTAGTGACTGTCATAATTTTCCTAGTAGTATCTGGATCTCTATAAAGCAGCAGGCCATTGTTGCCTACTGCTCAGGCAGATAAGGAGGAAAACCAAGAAGCGTTAATTCCTTCTATTATATCCCTTTAAGAGGGTTGCATATTTGTAGTGGCAGTAATGAAAACCTAGGTGGAGACCATTTTCATGAGTAAGACTGTACCCTGATTGAAATAACTGATCTTAAATAATAAGCAAATAAAACATGCAGTGATATGAATCTGCCTTTGAGAGCTTTGTTTTTGTTTTAACTTGACATTTAACTTGTACTAAAATATATTGGTCTTATAGTCAGAAGAACATAAATTATTCTCATGTTTAATAACAAAATTTGAGACTTGAGTTAAATGAAGAAATTTCATGTATGATACCCATATCTGTATGTGCAGTAGCTGCTGCTTTTTTTTTAAAGAAAACGGCGTGTAAGTGACAGCACTGCAGAAAAGATGTACCTGTGCATTTGAGGGTTTTGTTAGAGTGGCTTCCAGCATATTCCAGTGTCTGCTTAGGAGATGTGTGTCCCTGTACTATATGTTGTGTCTGAGTGCCCAAATTTGACAGCCAAACTGGATCATTGTCATTAAATAGGCATCTCTTGAAAGGTTAGAGGAAAAGTAACTCCCAGTTGAGCAGAGGGTTTGGGAGCCAAGTCGACAGCTACAAATCTTTCCTCTCAGCACAATCTCCTGCTCAGTAGAGTGGAAACAGAAGATACCTCTCCTAAATCCTTCGGCCTTCTCTGTTTTCATTTACAGCAACACTAGAGAATGAGGTAACAGACCACTATGAGGGTGTCACATGCCAAGTTCTCAGCACTGTCTGCAAACGTCCTAACAGGTTACAGCAATAAAGGGGACAGGTTAATGCTACGATAATCTGTTATAAAGATTTCTGTGTTTTGCTACTGGGTGGTTGATATGGCAACACAAACACATTAATGTCTTTTACCTACTGAAAAATGCAGGAATGTAGCACCAAGTTGCAAATACTGCAGAGCTTAGTTTCTCTTAGTGGGATACTAACAGTGCAGTCAAATTTGTCAGGCTGCTACTGGGCAAATAAGGCTGTGATGCACAGTGTGAAAGGCAGTGCTTGTAAGAGGTGCATTCAAAGGCTGACTCTAGCTAAGTGCAGCTGTTTGTCAGAGCTTCATGTACAGTCAGTGGAGACTCTATAATCTAGAGGACAGTACAGAACACAAGCTTTACTGCCTCTGTAAATAAATGCCTCTCACTGTTGGTGTAGTGAGGAAGGGGGAAGGAAAGGTAGCACTAGGAGCTATTGTGAATCTCCTAAGTATACAGCAAGGAAAAGCTTTGAGAGCTCTGATCAGCAAGAAAGCTCACTTGAAAAGCACCAGAACTGGGTAATAGGGCACTGAGCTCAATAGTCCCTGCTGCACAGGCATGGTGCCAGACTTTGTGTTAGTGACAGACAGGGCATGTGTCCCTGAGCTGAGCTCTGCTCTGGGCAGGTGCCCTGTTGCCACATCAGCTACCCAATGGCTTTTGCAGGGCAGGGCTAGCATCATGATGAAAGGAAATACAACTGCTAGAACCCTTGGGTTTGTGTGGAAGCCACACATTAAAGACATATGGAGACAACAGCAGCATTATCATCATCTCTCTTGCTGGCACTATCCTTCCTTTCCCTTCAGACAGCCTTTCCAAGAGAAAAATGGCTTTTTGTGTCTGTGTTCCTTTCTGGCTGCTAAGGCTGGCTCCCCAGTCACCAGGCTTTTCATGTACAGCAAACCAGCATAGATTCTCTAAAGTCAGTCTAGCAGTAATAGTACTGGACTTTGACAATTACCGGTTTCCTGAGCAATCCTATTACATTGCCCCAGAGCAACCTCACAGAAAAAAAGCACTGCCACTTGCATTTTAACTTAAGCCAACAAAGCTTGATGGCTACCTGGAATAAGAATGTAACGTACTTCCCTCCAGATTTACTCTATACCACTTATCGAACACATTTCATAATAATTTGATGAGTAGTTCTTTTGTTGTATGCTCAGAGAATACTGAAACCCTTCTACCAGTACTTCAGTAACACTGAAAATCAAGAAGGACTGCAGCAAGGTATTTAGAGCTAACAAATAATACAATTTGGTATCTTACCCTTAACTTTTTCCTGAATTGCTGGGTTGAGGCGTATTTTAAATTGTCTCGTATGTCTTGCAGAAGGCGCTGTCTTGTGACCCGAAAATCCCAGCATTGCTGGATCCTTAAAAAGGGTATCTGAAGATTAAAGTAACAGTCTATTAGCAATGTGTTTATGTCTTCTGATTTGTAACAAAATTGGTCTCACCCACAGCACTCCAGGTCATGGACAGAACACTGCATTCAGTCCTGTGAACAGTAATCTTATTTTGCATGTCAAAGATGCATGGATAGTTGGTTAGCTTCCATAGGGCCATCTGAAATTACAAGGAAGAAAGGAAAAAAACATGTTGATTTTCTCTTGTGAACTCAGAGTTCAGGGGTACATGTGCAGGCTGAACTGCCAGTCTGTACCCTGGCAAACTCCTGGCTCTCAAACATGCCCTTGTGTGCATGAACACTCACTAACAGAGGTACACTTCCTAAAAGCAGCTTCTAAACACTTCTGTGAGTGAGAAACACTGGCAGAGAGCCATCTGACCTGTCTGTGCAGACATATGCTTGTTAGAGTGCCCCAAGAATGAAACATAAAGTGATATTAATAGCATCTTCCATAAATCAGCTAAACCAAATCACATAGTAAAATGTCCTGGATACCCAGGTTATGGTGCAGTGTTTTTGAAAACTGTTAGGTTTATTACCTGTAATACCAAAATTAGATACTGGTATAAACAAAATCTAATTCAAAGTGTTACACTTCCAGTATGATAAGGCAGCAACTTCAGGTAATGTCCTACTTGGCTTTTGATGCTGTGGTGTTTCTCAAACCTCCTCCTCTGCTCTGGTTAGTTGGCAGAAAATTGGTACATTAGCAAACAAAGTTTATGAAAGAATTAGGCAGTTGCCCTATTAGTTCCAGCCAAGTTGCCAGAAAACTACATTTTTTGCCTAAGGAAGTCTCTACTATCTGCATTTCCATTTCATGCTGCTTCCTGTGACACTGACTGCATTTCTTACCTAATTTTCACTCCTTCATGTCATCCAGAAATGAACCATTTCACAGATTATTTTTTATTACCGCAGCTTTGTTTTAAGATGTAAGTAAATTGAAATGCTCAATAGGGTTTCTAAATAAAAGTCTAAAGAGACTTCACAATGCTTCTATTAATTAAACATAATAAAATCCAGAGTAACAAGAAGTATAGCAACCATCCCTCGTGGTCCTATTTCACATTGAGTAGTAGCTCAGAGCAAACAGAGCTGCCTAAGATGCCAGAGGACAGCTCCAGTTCTCAGAACTGGGAGTCATCTCAGGAAAGGCACTACTGTAGCTGCTAAAATACTGGGACAGTAAAGGGTTTGCATAATTTAGAGCAGCTGGAGGACTAGAGAAAATGCTTTGTCTTTGAGATGTATTGGGCAAGAGTCTAGAATAGACTTTCATACAGATACTGACTATTTAAACAAAAGAGAAAAGAAAAGAGTGATTCACACTGAGGGTAAGAGTGTATACTTACTTCAATATTAAAGAACTGACATAAGATGATAACCTCTTTTACTGTAGGCACATAAAAGGTATTCTCTTGTACTCTGAAACCAGTTCTGGAGTTCACCTGCATTGATACATGCAATATGTCAGCAGATCTAGTGATCTGTCCATCTGTGGCAGGACAGGACTGACAGGGCATTCTGCAGAAAGAGCTGAGACCTTGCACAGAGGTGAAAGCATAGAAGTGCGATGAGTAGCACAGTGCTCCACGGTGAGAAGTGTCAGAGAGTCATGCATAAACTAGCAGGAGAGCACTTTTCATTTACAATGAAGATACCTTAACAGGACTCATTCAGGAAAGGCGTCTTTAAGTGTCTTTCATGTTGCAGAACAATCTGCAGTTCCCTATTCATGTTCATACTTGTTGCCTGGCAAAGATATGATTTTGGGGAGGGACAGTGAACATGTAGAGCTGTTCTACATGTTGGAATCAATTACAGACGACTAGGACTGCTGCATTTTTGAGTTTATTCATCTGGATAAATACAGAATCAAGACTCTAAACTTTGAAGCCCAGATCTGCATCCTCAGCCAAAAGGATATTCAAGTCGGAGCAAAATTTAACAGCTCTATCTGATTTATACCGTGTGCTTGAGCTCTTGACTTTCCTAAACTTTGAACATCTCAGCAGGAGAAAGGGTGGCTGTCAAGAAGAACACAGTTACTACCCCCTTTCTTCCTCTTGTTCATATGCAGCGAAAGGGGCTCTAATACTGTTGTCCCAGAGAAATTTCTCAGCTAACAGGCTCTTAAAGCATCACACAATGTTACTGTGGCAGCCACAGTGTGTCTAGCAGGTAGGTTGTCTTTTAAATGCTGTGAGCAGTTACTAGGGGGAGGGATCACCAGCAGAAAGGGGAATGGCCATTTTACATAATAGAAACCACATCTCTGTAGACATCAATCTATGCAGCCTCACTGAAAGCATGCAGGGGCCAGAGGCTATCACATGCTTTAGCTCTTGATTTCTACAGAGGGTCAGACAGACTTGTGCAGGATTCCTTCAAAGTTATGATAGTGTAGAGCCAAAGGGATTCCTAAAGCAATGTCAAATGACAAGGCCACATGTTTCCTTGTAAGATGGATACCCAGAGGATTCAACAAGTAAGAAGGATTAAAATACTCTAAGCCATATTGATACATCCTGTTTAGTGAGGGTCCAAGTACTTTCTCACCTGGTAAAGCATCTGCAGTATTTGCAGAGGCACCGTTTCATCTGGGTACAGGTCAAAGAGGAATGTTGACAAGCTTGTGACTCTCCTAATAAATTGAGACAGGTTTTCCTGGGAAACCCTCCTATACAGAATGACCAGCTCCTTGAAAAAGGATGTTTCTAGATTTGACCACAAGCATGCTGTAAAGAAAACATCTAGTGAGGTCATAGGTAATATGCAAATCACTGCAATTTGTGGATGAAGCTGCATTTTCTCTTTATCAAATGAACTAAACAAAAAAAATGCTTAATTTTGCACTACAAAAATCTGTAAACAATGAATAGAATTTTTTTATTCTTGTGTCTTGCTGCATAGTCCCCACCGTTCTACATCTATCGAAAGCAATTCTTCCAGGCTGAACTCTGGAACACATTAGATCAGCTATACTAACTCTTGTTCTGCAGCAGAAAATGACCAAGCATTTAAAACATTCAGTTTTATCATCATAAAACCCTACCAAGAGTTTGCAGGTCCTTTAGCTGGAGCTTCATGATGGCCTGTGCTAGAAGCCTCAGAGAACAGTAAGACCGTTCATCCTTCCCCTGCAGAATGAAAGGCAAGATCAAGTAGACTCTGAAATTTTCAGGTGAGATGGGAGAGGAAGACAATGAAGGCAGTAAGTTCTCAATCTCATTTTGCACCTTCAGAAGCAAAAACAAAAAAAAAAAAAAAAAAAAAAGAAAAAAGACAAGGGTTAAAATGCAATTATGTTTTGTCAAAGTAATTAGGTTGACACAAAATTCCTAAATTTCACACACAAATCCAGAGTTCTTTGGTATCTGTGTAGTAATCCTTATATCAAATCCATACCTCCTGGAAGACTTCTGGCTTCTTGCTGATCTTCTTATAAAAACATTTCACTTCTGATATGTCTACACCTGAGACTTCTTTGGAAGTTTTGAAATGTTTGTCTCTATCACAAAGGAAAAAAGAGAACATGAACTTATGTGAGAAGCTGTTTTTTGTTACAGACTGAATCATGAAGTATTGTAACACCAGAAAAAAGGTAGAAAGTTCAGCCCTAGCTCCAGGGGGTATAATTCCATCTGTTCTAAGAAGACAGACAACACAGGTCACTGTTTTGTGACCTGATTAATATCTTGTCTTCCTGTCCTGTGTGGCTGTGAACTACTAATGATAGGCTTCATGTATATCACCCTAAAATGACTTTCACTTCAGTGCCTGGAGGAGCTATTATGGATCCTTTAAGAGCTATAATATTGCCTAAAGGGATTATCATCATCTGTCAAATATCACTATAGCAAAATCTTCAAAGAATGTGAGCTTCTGTAGTAAAGTTCAATGGGAGTGGGGGTATAAAAAGCTCAATTTTAGCTTGGACCTTGAAAAAGACAGATTTGCTTCTTGCAAATTCAGTTATGACTAATCTTTTCTGCATATGTGACCTAAAATAACACTTTCTGGTGAGTTCACATGCAGCCAATATAATCTGCCTAAGTCAGTGCACGCTACCTTTTCTCCAGGAAGCTTCCGTTGATGCAGGCCTCGGATGAAAAGATCAGTTTGATATTCCTGATAGTAAAAAACAAACCAAAGTCAATCTTTTCAGCTGCAGGTTTTTAACTCTGAAAGAACAAAACCCATGTGTACGAGTGTGTCTGCACCTGACCACACAAAACTTTTCTTAGCACCAATTCATTGTCAGTGATATAGAAGACATTGTAGTTGAGAAGTTAGTGATCTCTGGCAAGCCACCTCTGCTCTCCTGGGCTTTGTAAGGGACCCTGCTCAAGTGCCTCATGCCAGCCAGTGTTGAGGCTGGTGGGTGTTATCATGGAGTTATTTTCTCCTGAGAGGTTGGGACATTATCTGGTTTTGTTTGTTATGCAAAATAAAAGGCACTGCAGCAAGGGAGAGAAGAGTAATCCCTTCATGGATAGGATCTTGGTAGCATGTAGAGGGAACAATCCATCAGGGTATCAATTTACTGCTGCACAAAAGCTGGGTTCCCAGCATCTGAGGGGATGTTAGACTTAGTCACTACCTGTATTCCTAGTTCTGTTCTTTTAAAAGCAGCTAATTTATCAAGCAATTTGTTGTCAGACCCTTCCTATTGAGATTTGGAAAGAACCCTCTTGCTTTCACCCTCTCAACAACCACCTTCCATGTGACCCAAACTGTACTAAAAATGGTCAGGGAAACATTTAGTTCCAAATTAGCCAAGATTTTAAAATGCTCAAAATCAGCAGCTAGAGTCAGACTTGCCCAAAGGAAATAACCTCCCATGCAAGACCTGAAAAAAGACTGCATAATCATAATTCTCAGACATAAGTGTATCCTTACTGCTTTTGAAAATGGGTAATTAAAGATGGGATTGCTAATTTTTAAATGCTGACACAGACAAAACATTCCAGTTTGGGTACTATGGATTATGATTTTTGCACAAGGCCTCAGCCTGCAGGCAGAATCTTTCACTGATTTAACTTGCCAGCTCTTCATCAACTTAACAACTGTTCTGTGCAAAAAGAAGAGGACAGGCTTCTGAAGCTAGATAGTATATCTGCTCTGTTTCTGTGAAAGGATTATCAAAGGGCTGTTGTGTATAACATGTATTTCTCCCATGCAAAAAAAGGTGATAAATACTGGGACAAGATTGTGTCTTGGCTAAATTCTTGAACAACAGTTCCTACATAACAGAATCTCCAAAGAATAATAATTTTGAGAGAAAATCATGCAGCAGGGGAAAAAACCCTAACCAAACCCAAACAGCAGGCTTCTGACTTACTTTTTTATACCTTCCCAATGTTTAGAACTGGAATTAGAAATCCATGCATCCACTTCTTTATCCTCCAGAGTGGCAGTTCCATTCAAATAGGAATTCTGTGTGAAATGCATGAAAACACTGACAAGATTACAGGTCTAGCGGATGGGATTCTTTTGTTTCAAGCCAATCATTACAAGAAGATTTGTGTGTAAGTGTGAACAAATTAATGGTCACCCAGCATGCTCCAGATGCATTAACCACAGAAGATATATAATTGCAAGACAAGTTAGTTTCTAGGTAAGCAGTTAAAAATGCAATAGACATATATGAACTTGGAGTGCTAAAAACAGGATGGAAAATCCAAATGTTTCCAGCAGTAAAATCAGAAACTGTGATCAAATGTGCACATACCTTGTTTTTGCAAAGAAAAAAACTGTGCTTTACTCCTGCAATAATTTTAATTACCTTTTGTGATGTGTTCTTTTCTGTGAAAGAATAAAAAAATTTTAAAAGGAATATTTGAAGCGACAGTCATTATCTTCTGAGAGTTCAGTGCACAAATATGGAACAGTAGAAAACCCCCCCAGATAGTAGTTAAGCATCTAAAAGTCTAAAAGTTGATTCTATGTGGCCATTACCCATGATGGTAAATCAAGCAGCAAATTCATCATAGAATTTGTTGGGATGACCAAGCAAGCATGAGCTATAATATCTGCCTGTCAGTGTAAACATGAAATGATGAAAGCACACATCACCCCAGAAAAAACAAATACAGATTTTATACATCTGCAATGGTCATTACTCTGCCAGGATTTTCCAGTTTTCACTGGTGCATTGATGGGAAGTGGTATCAACCGATTAGGATTCCTCTCATCTCGCAGCTGTCCTTCATCATCAGAACCAAACAAATAGAGTTTGTCCAAGGAGGCAACATAGGCCAGGGTGTACTGTCTGTTCAGGAAAAATAATAGTTATAATAAGCAAAAATCCACTGTGCAAGTCAGAATAAAATTTACAGATATATTTTTAGAGTAGAGAGCTGAGGCTTGTCTTTAAAAGTCCTGACAGTCCAGACACAGAACCTCTTTAACCAAAGTCTTAGAACTCTTCATTGCATAGACATTCATCAATAAAGAAATGTATAGACTCAGATTTTCTACACTATCCTCTAACATTAGTGATTTACCTTGGTTCCACAACCAAAAATAGTGTTATGCTTTGCTAGCTTCACATCCTTCCATTTTTAAAAGCACAGCTTCTGTGTTGCTGAGCCCAGGTTAGCTGACAGAAGACTTTTTCTGGCCTAGTTCCAGAAAGACAGAGTGAAATAGCGTATTTATCACTGCTCTTCAATTCTTGCTAAGGATCCACCAGTTTATCAATGTCGATGGGAAGTCAGTGACATTCCTGACACAGGCTTTTGACAGTCTTTTGCCCTTTGGAACCCAGTACACCCTTTGTTTACTAAAAGAGCAAAATACCAAGAACTTCTGGTGGTTTTTGCAGCCCTCTCCCTCTGCTCACCATGGGCTGAGGGTTCTGTTCTCAATGGGGCAGTGGACCATATTTTGACATTGCTGACCTACTGGGATATGGGGATCTTGGCGACTCCCCTCCCTACCGTTTTTCAGTGATTCCCCTAAGAACTTGATTGTAGAAGACATGTTATTGGCACTTTCCCACCTGCCACAGGCAATCTGTGAAACCCTTGCTCCCCACAGCTCGGCCACCACACGAGGCATGAGTTCATTCCAGGTGGAGTTGTGACCAAGCTGGCCAGCCCCTCCTGCTCCAAAGGTGCACACCAACCCCTCCTTGAGGATGAAGAAACAAACAACAGGATCACTGCATTATTAACAACATTCAAATGCTCATCACCAAGAGCGAGAGCCAGCAAGACACAACACTTTATATGGGACTTGATTCAAACACAGGCAGGGTTTGCTTCGCCATCAAGCCTAATCTTGCACTGTAATATCCAAATCATTTAACTCCTGATAAAAGCAATTTAACTCCTGAGAACAACTTCCTGTTGCTTAAGAATTTTACCTGTATGAGTAAACTCTAGTGAATTAGCTATTGTTCATATTTTCTGAAGCCCACAATATGCTATAAAAAAAAAGAAAATATTTTTATAAAGTACTAAGAATTGAACTGCACCTCTTTGCCCCAGGAATCCCATTCACCATATCCCTCCAAATGTTTGCAAGCAGGTGATTGGAATCTTGAGAAAAAGCCAGTTTTCCCAATAGCTTAGTTAACATCCCTTTGGAGGGTCACCTTCAGACTCAGATGGAAGCAGGCATTACCATCCCAATTTCTCCATACTGATTTTTAGCAATATATCTTATCTCACAAAGTAAGGTCTCAGATGCTGACTTTTCATTTCAGGCTCACCTTGGAGAGAACTGCAGTATGATCTGCCCCACATGAGATAAATACAGTCTTCCAATGCTCTAAAGCTCCAACGTATGATGGGCTGTTTCTGTCTGGAAAGAAGACAGCACTGCTAAAGTGAAATAGTATAAGGGAGGGGTCTCATATACAGAAAAATTTAGAAAGTGGGGTTAAGCGCTTTTCAGTCCTCTCTTACAGCAGTTCATGTAATTACAACTTGGTTTGGGCTGGTTTTCCCTTCACTATAATATATGCTTTCTCATAATGCTTGGTCTTTTTCACAGTATTTTATTTTCATTTACATTCAGTCACAAACAAAATGCAGTACTTTCATGCCTGCTTGACAAAAAGTATTTGGTTTCAAAATATCAGCTTCTCAAGGGTGTGGACTCATTCAGATTAGATTCTGCTGACTTCAGGTTCTGTCTGGCTAGGGCAACTCTGCTCTAGCCTTCCTGGTTTGAAGACAATGGGTCATTTTAATTCTTCTCTCACTTTGTGTTTACAGAGAAGACAAAAAAGTATAAAATTTAATTTCTTTCATGCAAGAATTCTGGGGAGAGAATGGGTCTAGAAACAAAACTTTAGGACCTGTGAGGTTTTAAGAGCACACACTATCCAGTTAGGCACATAAAATGACTGCAAGTTCTCTATAGAAATACAATCCCTAAAGCCCTTGCTTCTGCATGCCTAGCTTCATCAGGAAACAAAAAACATATCTAGATATCTGCATATCGTGCAGCAGGAAAGCTATGACACAGTTGCCATCACAGAAATGTGGTGGGATGACTCACACAACTGGAGTGCTGCCATGGATGGTTACAAGCTCTTCAGAAGGGATAGGCAAGGTAGGAGGGGTGGAGGGGTGGCTCTATATGTCAGAGTCTCTTGACTCTGTGGAGCTTGAGGTCAGTAGCAACAAGGTTGAGTGCCTGTGGATCAGAATCAGGGGGAAGGCCAACAAGGCTGACATCTTGGTGGGAGTCTGTTACAGACCACCCAATCAGGATGATGAGGGTGATGATTTATTCTACAGGCAGCTGGTGGATGTCTCAAAATCACCAGCTCTTGTTTCTGTGGGTGACTTTAACCTGCTAGATGTCTGCCAGATGTCTGCTGGAAATTCAACACACCAGAGAAAAGGCAGTCTAAGAGGCTCCTTGAGTGCATAGAGGACAATTTCCTACTTCAGCTGGTAGATAAGCCTACTACGGGTGGGGCCCTGCTCTACCTGCTGTTCACAAACGGAGAAGGGCTGGTGGGAGATGTGGTGGTTGGAGGCCATTTGGGGTACAGTGACCATGAAATTAAAGAGTTTTCGATATTCAGGGATGCAAGAATGGCCATCAATAAAACTTCTACCCTGGACATGTGAAGAGCAGACTTTGGCTTGCTCAAAAGTCTGGTTCAAAGTGTAGCCTGGGAAACAGCCCTTGGAAACAAAGGGGTTCAGGAGGGATGGACATGCTTCAAGAAGGAAGCATTGAAGGTGCAGGAGCAGCTGTCCCGGTGTGCCGTAAGGTGAGCTGGCGGGGAAGGCAGCTGGCCTGGCTGGATTTTTTTGGAACAGGGAGACTTTGGAGGAAATTATGGAAAAAAGAGAGCTTGCCAACTCTGGAAAAAAGGGCAGGCTACTCAAGAAGAGTTCATGAATGTAGTCAGGTCATGTAGGAAGACAATTAGAGAGACAAAGGCAGACAAAATCTGGCCACTTCTGTCAGGGATAATAAAAAGTGTTTCTATAAATACATCAATGGCAAAAGGAAGGGCAAGGAAACCCTTCATTCCTTGTTGGATGTGGGAGGGAACAGAGACACCAGAGACGAGAAAAAGGCTGAAGTACTTAACACCTTCTTTGCCTCAGTTTTCAATAGTAGTCAGGACTACTGGCCTCTAGAGCTGATAGACAGAG